TCTAAAGGCCAATTTGGTGCATCTTTTGCCTACAACTATTGCATGCAAGTCATCACAACAACATGGCTACAACTGTCGTGAGGTTATCAAACAATTGTTTTTAGTCTCTAAGTTGTAGCCATGTTGTAATGATGACTTACATGTAGGCATGTTGCATGCATGCGATAGTTGTAGGCAAAAGTTGTACTGGTCTAAATTGGCCTTAACAGATAGACTATTTATAATAATTAATCCATGAACTTTACTTTCATTCTTCATTTGACTCAATTTCAATGACATAGAGAACTGTTAGCAGCTCTAGGTGTGGGTGAAGGGAGACACAAGGAGAGGGGTCTGAGGTGTAGAGGGGACATGCTAACGTTATCATTGTCATTTTCTTTTCAGGATCAGTTTTTTGATTACATGATTCAACAAGCAACAAAATTGGAATGGAAAGTTTTATTAGAGAACAAATCAAAGTTTCTTTTGGTGAGGCGACATTAGCAATTTCATTTTCCTTTTGTTGCTTTTCTTTGGTTTGTTTTCTTTTGTTTTCGCGTTTTTTATTAAACTTTCTATTTATACATTAAAGGTGCATTCTTCATCAGGACATAAGCATGCTTTGAAAGGTGAGAAGAAATCATGTAAGGGATCTATGATCTATTTTTAACGACGGTAATTGTGGGTTGAATGATATAGTAAGCATTAGGGCTTGTTTACCGAATTTTTATTCAATGCTAAAGGTGTGACAAATATATCTATTGATTCATTTTTGTTACAGAAATTTTATCAGATTCTTCAATTGCAAGCAGGCTTGCAGACACAAAGGTACAGTAGATTATACTCGCCTGAGCTCTTTTTTTAGGAAAGAAGTACGATTTACATGAAAGCTAGACTTGTTCCCTCAAGGTAAAACTTTTCTTTTTTCATTTAGGCCAGCAGCGAAGTAAAGGCCCTTGATACATTTTATTCTACACTTCAAAATGAACCAGACAAAGCTTATTATGGGTAAGAGCTAAACGTTTACACGGGATCTAAATTTCTTGAAAACTTACTGTAAAATGATTAGACTAGGCCACACGACCGTGTAATGCATGAGTCAACGGTAACCCCGACCCCCCCCACCCCGGGACAAGGTGGGGATTAGAGGGGGATAGTGGGGGAATAGAACAATTATTATCCCCAACATGGTGTGGGATTGGAGCTTTTTAGAATGAACCTTCCCCGTGGGGATAGGGCATAGGTGGGGATTCGACAAGGCCCTGCAATTTCTAGGACAGCGGTTGTCTTCAACAAGATGCTCCATGCTTGAATGCTAGAAGGTGAGTGTTTTTGTTATTCAAATCAACTTGCATCTAGTGCTTRTAAAAGCCATCCTTGTTTAAGAAGGATATAAAACAGGAAAAATGTAATTGAAGAATAATTCACAATGACTATTTGTCACTTTTAACTTGACCTTSACCTCTTTTGACCTTGTACATAAATCGTTCATTATTATGGCGAATAACCTATGTATTAAATTACTTTTTAACTTTTTTCTCGATCATAATACAAGGAGGCAAACTAATTTAAATGTCAGGCTACTAATGATTAGAGTTTTCTACTTTAATTTAATTCTCAGTTTCAATCAAATCATGAACTGGAAGAAGCTTTGATTTAAATTGTTCTCATATTTGTTCTTTCCTCAGAATAGAATACCGGTAAATGACTGGAAGACAACCTCCAATGAATGAATGAAATTAAATAAAGTGTGATACAAAAATAACTATATTTTTTGTAATGCTTATCTACAAAGGGGAAAAGCGAAGGACAAAAATATCCTGCCCCAGGGGTAGGGCTTTTGGTGGTTTAACATAGTCCCCAGAGTCAGGGGCATTATCACATGTTAAACTTCACATTTTTTCTAATCCCCACCTTGTCCCGGGGTGGGGGGGGTCGGGGTTACCGTTGACTCATGCATAAATCAGAAATACCCTACCCTATGCAGTTGAAAAATTACATCGATTGAATTTTGACATGCACTGTCAGATTAAAATTTCATTATATATTTAGCTGTTAGTAAGTAGATTTCGATCTGTTTCAAACAAGAAACCAAAAAAAGTAATACATGTGTTTTGGGAGTGCTGTGTGTGCGGCCATGAGTCACGTGATTTCATAGTGCAGAACGATGGGACGCAAGAGTCATATATGGGGTGAAAGTTCACTCAAACAATTCGTAAGTTTTTTTAGTCTTTTTAATTTGTGCTACAAGACATAATGCATTCAATACCATTAGTGTTAGATATATTTGAATATGAGCTTTTTGTGGAAAACGAATGTGCGCTGTAGAACTAATAACTTAACTTAACTTACTGCCTGACCTTAGTCATCATTGACACTGGAATCTCCCAGGGCCTCCCAAGTAAACTTGCTGTGTTTTTCAAATTCTTTATGCTGTCTAACTAAACATTGGCTCGTATTTTAACATGCAGTGATTTTGGGATTTTCTTCAAGATTTCAAACATTAGAGTATTTGACAAATGACTGCCCTGTAACCAAGATGGCGACCGATTTTAGTACTGATAATTGTAAGTTAATTTTTTTCACTGAAAAACCACACAAAGACAGTACAGCACGTCTTTTTCGTTTATTTATGAAACTTTGCTAAATCATAAGATTATATGAGTGAATATTAGATAGTGCCCCGCGTCTCATTACTGTGACACGATCGTAGACTGGTTCTGTGGCAACTAATAAGTTTATGTAAATTGGCATTGCTCTAATTTTTATATTTTTTTTGTTTATTACTATTACTATGCTATTAAATACTATTACCCCCTATTAGCTCCCAATAGTTTAACTTATGACATGCGACAAACAAATTAGGCAAAAACAGTTTGGTAGCCTACTACACCCTAATAGTTACTGTTAAACACCGACTAGTAGTACTTGTTTCACAGACGGATGAAAATGACTCTATTGCACAGTTGTTTAGAATCGCAATGTTTGCCATATTGTGTGCATTTATATGTTATGAACCATCTTATAATATTCCAAAAATAATTAGGAAATAGATGTCATGGCATTTTATTAGGTTAATAAAAAAAAATGAAAAAAAGTTTTTGGTAAGGCTACAACTTATAATAGGTCTCCTAATTAAATCAGTACTTACTACTTGTATAATATATTTGTTATAATAGCGTTAGTTAGCATTATAGACAAGGTCTCTTAGGTATCCTAATAGAACGATTTCACATAAGCGTCTTTAACATGCAAATGAGTTTTTCGAGTATTTAACATGCAAATTAGTTGACACCTGAGATGAGTTGTTACCTTGAAAACTTGAGTCAAGTTGGAATGCATTGTATTTATTACGAACTTTGATACTGAATAAAATTCAAAATTGATAAACGATGTAACTCGTCCTTTGATAATACGTTTGGGCTATCTGTGGCTTAGGTGTCAACTAATTTGCATGTTAAATACTCGAATAACTCATTTGCATGTTAAAAACGCTTATGTGAAATCGTTCTAATAAGCCCTTTGCAGCTGGGGGTCACGTGACTACACCTACCTTAAATCAATGAGCTATCAAAAAATGATGTTCAGAAATGGAAATAAGCACAGGTTTATGTTGATAAAATGTCAATGTCTCACATCTCAACTCTAAATGCTAAACAATGGCAGCAAATATAAAATATTGATTTTTTGGAAGAAGCGTATGGGAAAATAGAGCTGGAGAGCAAGCCTTGCGTTCTGTGTTTGCATATAATTCTTTAGAAAAAAATTTTGTATTTGCTATCAATTTTGAAATATTTAGTGTTAAGACTTGAAACTATGTCTTCTTTCTTATTTTGAACTCCTTTTTCCATTTCTGGACATCATTTTGTCATTGCTGATTAATTTAAGGTAGGTGTGGTCACATGACCCCCAGCTGCAAAGAGCCTGTTAAAACGGCACTTACTACATGATTGTATAATATATTTTTTATAATAGTGATAGTTAGCATTATAAGCAAGGTCTTAGTTATCAGGGTTTTATTAACATCCTGGCTATGAGATGATTTTCAGCCATCATGAGACTTTTCCCACTAAAATGAAAGAAGAAGTTTTCATGATAAATGAAGAGCAAAACTCTTTAACTATATGTCTGAACTGTGCCATCAGTCAATCATAGCACTGTAGAGTTCTTACATGTAAGATACACATAACATCAATCAGTGAAAACTTTAACATTAACTGTGAAAGCTTCCGTCTGAGCTCAAAATTTCTAAAAAAAAAGATATAAACATTCACTGTAAAACTGCCATATGTGGTCACTCTAGTAGCATAAAGATAGATGTCCTTTCTAACACTGTGCTTGGAATAGCAGTGTATACTGTAGTTGTTTTAAATAGTTGTATTGAAGTGACATAATTGAGTAACTACAGTTTTTTTGGTGTAACATTTTTGACAAATTGATTGTATTTATAGCTTGCCTTTTCAGGTGGTGAAGTTTCTTCTGTTTGGCTTGCTTGATTTTTCTTACCATCCTCTTTCCAAGGTTTCTCATCTGTCAGTGACAAAATATGTATTGAAATGACTGTTTAAGAAAATTTCAGTGAAGATTTTTTTTAGTCAAGTACCTTCACTTGTAGTCATTGAGAACTGACCACTGTCTTCTGCTGAAAGTTGGTGATTCGGTGCTGCTGCACCCTCACTGTTCATTTCTTTGGTTTCAATGCCATGTAGTTCCTGATTGAGGTTAGGTGATTTCCCTCTGTCTCTCAGCAATTGGTCAAGGACTTTAATCTTTGGTTCCACTTGGCTTTTTTGTTGTTCCTTCTGGAGACTGTATTGTTCATTGTCATGTTTAACCTAAAGATAGTGATGATTGATCAGCAGACAGACTTCAATAATAATCCGGAAATGAATGGACAAAAAAGCTATAGTAACTAACTTGTCCACAATAACAGGAAACAACTGACTATGTCTTTTTCTGATAAGAAACAAGTCATTTTTATAATTGCAATATTTTTTTCAATGTTATAATTATAATATTTACTAGATCAAGTATATATCACATATTACTTGTGGCAATAAACTGTCAACTTGGTCTGTAGGACTTGGTTTGCTCTTCCTCCTATCCATGTCTAGTTGACCTGGGTTTCCTATTTCTGTCAAAGACAAAATTTGTATTTTTATACCATGTATTATAAAAATGTCCTTATCATTGTATGCATTCAAATAATGGTTAAAATAGAAACCATTTTGTCTTTTTGTACAGACTTGACCCCTGTACCTGTAAGTTGGTGATTTGGTGCTGTTTTATCCTCACTGCTCTTTTTTTGGCCTTCATTTACAGCACTTGCCAGTTCCTGATTAAGTAATCCTCCTCTGTCTCCTTCCAGTTGGTCATCAATCATTTCTTTTTCATAGTTTCTCATGTTTTGATTTCTCTGAATCTGGAGTTTTTTCAATTCTTCACAGGGATTAATGGATCTTTTGGTAAAAAATATTAAAATGCAAGTTAAAATAAGCAGAAATTACTAATCACTGTCAACATAATCAAAATATTGCACTGCCATGATGTAACTAAGTGTTACAGGCTTTGGAAGTAATTACGTATGTTAAAAGTGCCAATTACAAGTCATACCTTTGAAGTGGTTGAGTTTTGGGGTCACTATTGATCTCAAGCTCTTCGGTAGCATAAGTTCCATCATGGATGTCTAAACACAAGGAAATAACAGAAAGATAATACCATAAAACATGTGGAAATATGATAAAATGTTGTGTTGTATTTGCATAATATTGAAGAAGAAAACTTGGAAACTAAATTTTCAAAGATAACTTGTCATTTGATTTACATTTTTCTGAACATTGGATTTGAAATTATCCTGCAATGCAGCTTGATAACAAACAATTTATGAATTGCTTTTCATTTCTTGAATTCTTTCTGATAGTAATATTGATTTGTGTGGTATTTAAGTAGTAGTAGTAATAGTAATATTTTAAGATTTTTAAGATTTCTGACATAAGAGCTGTTTCGCACAATTCCTACTGATAAAGCAGAGGTGGAGTAATTAGAGATTTTTGTAGAGCACATTAAGATTGATACTATTACACGTACCTCCTTCCTCTTGCATTGAAGATAATTCCTCCATTTTCTAAATTGAAAATGAAACACAGGTCTTGATTAACTTCCAGTACCAGTGACTAATACAATGTATCAAATAACATGATAGTAGCACTACAGTAGTTATAATATTCATGTACTATTGTTTATGCTTCATTTGATATTTTTGATAAACAAATAATGTACTATACACTTACCAGTTCTGATGGTACATCAGAAGTAGCAAGTTCACGGAGCTGCAGGTCTTGTGCTCGCCTTTTTTCATCCATTTCCTTGCAGTGCTGCAGGTCTTGTGCCCGCCTTTTTTTGTCCATCTCATCACAGAGCTGCAGGTCTTGTGCCTGCCTTCTATCATCCATTTCCTTACGGAGCTGCAGGTCTTGTGATTGCCTTTTTTCATCCATTTCATTGCGGAGCTGCAGGTCTTGTGCTTGCCTTCTATCATCCATTTCCTTGCGGAGCTGCAGGTCTTGTGCTTGCCTTTTTTCATCCATTTCCCTGCGGAGCTGCAGGTCTTGTGCTTGCCTT